GTGAGCGCCACCCTTACCCGACACCCACAGGCCTACGGCTTCTTTTCTGCCCTCCGGGGGGGGTTTCAGGCGCCTAAAAAATTTACGTCCTCTCCAGCAGCCAAATGCTATGAGAGTCTGGAGCAGGAAATTCACAGAACCGACTTTGGCACTTCCCCTTTGACGGTGCATAGGGAAAAGAGCGAGGAGTAGAGGAGGAAGGAGGGGCACGGGCCAAGGGAGTGGAAGGCTAGTCCACCAGCTGTCCGGCACTGACTGTGGGATGAAGAGGAAACATGGGAAGAAGACGACCAAAGAAGGAGAGGCTGAAGCTAATCTGTGTCAGCAGAGAAATCCAAACAGAGTGGACGTTGATCAGCTGTGAGATGGAAGGAGACTGAAAGCGAGAAAATACTCCTCTATATCAAACGGAGCCAGAACAAGTCGGGGTCGGTGCCAACTGGCGTTCTCCCTGCCTCCTGATCAGGCAGCCTCTCCGTCTCACAGAGAGCCGGCCATCTGTCACTACATTCTCTTCGCAAACACTCACACAAACACAAAAGAGAGGCTTCACGTCATTCAACATTTGTTCCCATCTTCATTAAATCATTAACCAACAAAGAACTGTCTGGACTTCATTTATATCTGTTAACGTAGGCAACCAGCAACATTACCATCTACAACCAGGTGTGGGTCGGAGTCACCTCTGACCACTGGTTGGATATTTGTCAGCTGATTGTAATAACATTCAGTGATGTCAGTCCTGCATCACTGGGGGGATTTTGGATTTTGGAATAGTTTTTAAGAATTTCATGATTCCACAACCATAATCGATACTTCTTATGGATTCCATTTCTGAACGATTAACCTTCTGGATTGTCACAAGTCGGAGTCTGTAACCTTTAACACTTTTATGACAGGAAAAAATTCATAGAAAACAGCAAACTAAACGATTGCAGTAGGACCTTTAAAGTACTGCAGTAATACTAAAGATTTTTTTACAGAAGTACAAAAGGAAATACTGACATATATATATATTAAGGGTGTGTATTGGCACAAAATGTTGCTAATTTCCTCGTCAACTTTGCATCTGATAATAAGGAATAAAACGTTGACCTTTGACCTGCCGCAATATGAAAGTAGTTTTTCTTTTATGCACAGAAATAATATGCATACATTATTCACACACAGGGTCATTAACATGCACTGAAAAACCCGCTAACGCACGGTCACACTGGAGCTGTCACTACATCAGCGGCCACTAACTGTGCTGACAGGACCATGAATCATTCAGCAGAACCCACTGGAGCTGCAGCAGTAATCAAACCATCACTCCTTCATTCCAGCTGCGATGAAAAGGCAGAAAACACAACATATGGTCCTGTTTCTGAGAGTGTGATTTGTGTTTATGCTTTTCTCACTGTGCACCCCCCCTCCCAATCCCCCTCCCCCGGCCCCTCCTCTCCTGTAATTTGCTCTGCAGAAAAAAAGACACGCGAGCAAAGCAGCTTAACGCCTGTAGGTGGAGCAGCAGCAGAGGGTCAATGACACGGCCACCTGCTCGTGCACTACTGTAGGCGTAAATACAGCGCACGTCATGACTACGAGAGGGTTTTGAGAGAAATCAAACCCAAACACTGTGCAGCTCAAATCTGCCCCCTTTGACCCGTCTGAGGCAAAAGAATGAGCAGAGGATCAATAAAGACTGAGGGGAGTGATGAAAGGGCGGCAGCACGGGTGAAGGAGGGGAGGAAGGAGGGAAGGAGGGGAGGAAGGAGGGGAGGAGGGGAGGTGAGATTACACTTCTTCTGTAGTTAAGTCAAAATCTGATGATTGGACGTCAAGACAGAGTGCTGAGTTAGTGACTTTGCTCTTTTTCTTCTCCTCTAACTCTGAGCCGCTCTGAGACAACGCTCCCCAGAGGAAATGGATAACTGGGTCCATCTGTCTCACACACACAGACACACACACACTTACACACTGGGGAGTACTAAAGGCAGGGAGTGTCCCTGAATGACCCAGATTTAAACTCTAGCTCAGCAGCGTGCAGAGCCTCCACCCTGCTGTAGTGTCCATTAGCAAATCCCTGACTCCTGACCGTTTGAGGGACGCTGTGAGGTGGTTGACCTCTGACAATCCCTGTGCAGGAAGCAGCTAAGAGGATTGTCCTCTGTGACACCATAGGGCCGGGTTTGAGTGGTTGAAATGATGATGTACTAAATTTAGCACGAACTATTTCTATTTTACTCTTATAGTTCCAGGGTCTGGAACTGTTTCCTTATGACTCCCATTCCCCCAGTAACGTGCACAGAAATCCTGACGTTGATGCTGCGACACATTGATGATGTTTCCCCATCAATGGCAACAGCACTTACCACTCCTCCACCACATGCCCCCAAAATACAAAACAAGACAGAGAAGAACATCCAAAGGAACCCAGACAACTCTGCTTCCAGACATGACTGATGGAACTGATGGATCTTTTCTTTTCTCCTAATGCAGCGAACCAGTTAGGAGAAGCAGAAGAGATTTCTCTCTAAATTAAATCCAGAACCTTTCAATGCTCTAATTTGCCAAACAAAATAAATGAGGCAGTGCACACTGGTGATAATAACCACAACAAACACCAGGAGGGGCGGTCTTTAAAATAAATATTTCAATCTGAATTCGTCAAAGAGAATTGTAAAGATGGCTTGGAAACATGTGACCAGGGAATATATTTAGACGTGCAGAAATGAAAACACACATCAGACAGATGGCTGGTCCTCGCGTCTCACACTTGGTTTCCTTCATGTAGACTCCACTTCATCACTGTGGTACAGATGCTTTACATCACACAGCATGAATTCATCTGCAGGGACATAAAGGCCGGCTCGGTCAAGTTGGCCTGTGTTTCTATTCTGGGCACATGGATGACTTATTTAAACCACCGACTCCTGTGACGTCAACTCTGCTCACAACATCCCAGCATCTGCTACGAGCAGACTCTCAGTCTGAGCTGCTCGTAGCCCTGGTCGTGTTTTACACGTTCGACAGGGACCGTTACATCCAGACACTCCCTAACACTATCGAGGGTGCGGAGTTAGTCGAGGGGTGGCGGGGGTGGGGGGGTGGACAGGGCAGCAGCAGGCAGCTAAAATATTCAAATATGTCTCAGACATTCGTATGGTGAGAGCAACAAATATTTAAATATATTTATAATGAAATAAAAAGATATTACATTGAAAATTCCACTACATAAAAAAACTTTTTTATTCCTTAAATTCCTTGGCAAAAACAACCATTTAGAGCCTGCACTGAGCACAAATAACTAGATGTTTGTCACAAAAACAGAAAGTTAGTCAAAAACAAAGCCAAGTAAGAAGTTGAAAATTCAGCTGGAAATAAAGATGAAATAAATTAAAAGATAACTAAAAGTAAGCTAAATAAATTATAAATTAAAAGATAACTAAAAGTAAGCCTGATATAGCCTAGGATTATGGCCAAATATCAGACAAAAGATGAGAAAATTATGACTAAATTACATTTATCTAAAAATGTAGGGAACAGATTAAAAGTTATCCCAGAAATATGGAGTAAATTTATATTTATTAATGAGTTTAGGCCAGGAAGTTAATCAGTGGGGAGAACACAGACGACTGCGTGTGAAAGTAACACTTTTTTCATGGTCTTTATTTTGGCAGTTTGTGCTGCAGCAGAATCATGTGGTGCAGTGATCAGGAAGACAGCGCTCCAGAGACCACAGTGTCTGAAGCTGACTGTTCTAGCATGATCTTAATGCCTGGGTGAGTGACTGAGTCAACCCTGTGTGTGTCTGTGTGTGTGTGTGTGTGTGTGTTGCTATGGTATCCTAGGTGTAGGATTGGATTCCCCACAGAGAACACGCTCGCTGCTTCCTACAAGGCCAGAAGCACGGCCTCCTGGGACGTGGACTGATGGCAGTTAAAGCTGTGTCACTGAAAGACCTGGACTAGAGGTCGGACCACAGCTGGACCACATCTGTCTGACCTCGCCTCAAATGATCTAACACTCAATAAGCACCCACCCACCCAAAAAACAAAGTGCAAATTAAAACAACCAGGCACAAAAATGCTATAAATATAGCTAGCTGTTAGCAAAACTAGCTTAAAGTTAACCCAAATAAGAATATTAAATAAACAACTTATTTTTCATTTCATCAAAATTAAGCTAAACAGATGCAAGAAAACTAATCATGAGGTGTTAACTCTTCAGTAGCTACAGGTTAACATAACATTTTAGCCAGAATACATCAAAAAGTCGCCCCTAGGAAATACTTTTGAACTTCGATTAGTTAAAGTAAGCTAAGGTAACCAAACCTCAGGTGATATCTCACTGATTCTGCCCTTAAAGTATCTAAAAAAAATCAAAATAAAACAGCTAATAAACAATGTTGTTGTGTTTGTATAATATTAGTGAATAAATCCATTAACATCCCAGGTTTAAATGGTTAATTCCTCCAAATCCCTCAGTCCACTTAGAACCTGAAATGGGACAAAGTCCAGTTTCCCCGTCACGGCCGCTGAGACTGACCCTGGAGTAGATCCAACCCTCCTGCTGCCCTGCATCTGCTGCTCCACCGCTAATGGCCTGACTGGGATTAACATGCACTGAATAACAAATGTAATTAAATCTCCCTGAGACTTCACCAGGGCACAGGCCACAAAACGACAACCAGTGTGAACAAACAAGAGGTTGTGAGTCGATGAAGGCTGAGAGGAGGTAGAGAAAGGGAGATTTTAACCTGAGGACAGAAGGTAAGGCGCAACAAGAGGGTGAGGCGGTACCTGCTAGTTTCCAGTAGACTCGTCTGGCTACGTGGGTGTGAATAATTCAGTCTTAAAGTTAAATACCAAGACGCCTGCATCTGTTTCGCTCATCTCTTCTCGTCTATAACTATTTTGGTCATGTTTTAGCATTTTTTAATACCTATTTTTGGGACACGTACCACTCATTAGACACCAGCTAACAGTTCTCTAGCTAATTTAACCAAATCCGAAGATAACATCCACTGACTCACCTGCTTCCAGTTGTCGAAAATGATGACTTTGCTGTCCTCGTCGTCCACGGTCACCGAGCACTCGTAGCCCTCACCTGTAAGAACGCAACAGCACACAGTGTCAAACTCAATCACAGCCAAAGCCACAGTGTTCTGGTGAATGTAAATATCTGAAAGTGACTGGTTTTAACAGCATCCTGATCTTCTTGCCTCCGCCTCTGAATCAGTTTCAACAATTGAGCTCTGACTCCTGATTAGTTCTGTAGGTGGAGCACAGTCTATACCATTTACATCGTGCACAGCCTCTTGGTAATGAAAGACGTGTCACTGGACAAATGCTGCCTGGCACATTGATGGCTTTTTAATAGCTACTGGACAAAGACGGAGGTCTGAAGGTCAAGATATACAGGCTGCTCTCCTGAAATCAATTCCAACCGTGTTGTCCTGCAGCCATCGAGTGACAAGGACCGCTGTATAAATACACGTCTTTACACTGAAATAAACAAAAGTTCAACTTCAATAATTCATTATATTTTTTTTTCATACACTGGACCTTTACATTAATAAAACAGCTCAGACCCACAATGCTACTTTACACAGAACTGATGTGTAATTTAATGGAAGTCAAGCTTGTTCAATAACTATTAGTCTATTTTATATCACTAGTGTAGCCGTGGCGCCTGTTCTCAGTCCTTCAGTGTCTAGAACCGTTTATTGTTCAGTGGAGATGTATTGATTATTATTCCACTCAGCTCCAGTTTATTTCAGGTTTATTGTTTACACATAGCTAGTAGATTAAACAGAAAATAAGACTTTTTCACAGCTGACTGTTGGTAGTATTCTTAGTAAGTTATGTTTTTAATTAAATTGTAACTATTTTTCTTTTATAAATCAAATTTTTCCCAGTGCTGATAATGTATTCCTTTTTATTGGCTAACTTTAGCTGCTGTTTTTGTGTGCTAGCGCTTGCTATGCTAATCGTAATTATCCTTTTGCTATGTTGCTGAAATAATTAATTAACTGTGACAAGTTACTCTATACTTAGCTGTTACCTGTAGTAAATATTTATTATCATATCTAAGCTAATAAAAAATGGCTATCTGGAGGTAGTCGAAGCTAGGAGGAGAATTTATTTCGATTAGCATTTAGCCTTTCCCGGGCTAATTCGAGGTAAGCTGTTTTAGCTTCGCCAGCTAATAATCACTTATCCGGATAAATATTTAGTTGTGTACATATTCTTTAAGTACTACAAGTATTTATAACAGACTAAACTTAAACTTATCCGTAAAACTCACATTCCACCTGCGTAGTGCACGGCTCTACATCAGCACAGGCTAACGTTGCGCTGTGGGACTGTGGGTAAGTCAGCTTCACTGTCCCGCGGTGACACTGAGCTATTGATTGGAGCTGGACTCTTACAGACCAGAGCTGATTATCTCTGCTGATTGTGGCGTCTGGGTGCTGATTGCAGAAAGTGTTGAGTGATGCTCCAAAAAGTTTCTTCTAAATTTACTTTAAGTCATTGTAAACAGCAAACACTCTCCAAGTATTTCACTGGGCTCAACTCCACTCAGCTCACAGTGGGCTGAGAGGTGGCAAATAAATGGGTTTCATGTGGGCCACAAATAATGATACTAACACAAGCTGCCCAGAGGAGTCCATGCCCTCCTTGGACTTATGTAACCAACCATTATTATTATTATTATTATTATTATTATTATTATTATTATTATTATTATTACCACATGCTTGTGTCTCTGAGTCTACAGAGAGGGATCTGTCCGACTGCCCGGCCAGAGCCAAGGCCAGCGACGACTTGCCAACGCCGTTCTGCCCCAAAAGTACTATCCTCAATGCGCCGCCACGGCTCTGGTACGCCGACTGGTTGGCGGCCGACTGGCTGAAGGAATCGTCCCGAGACACTCCTGTGTCACTGATGGGCAGCGTGGCCGGTTCATCCAAGCCCGGGATCCAATCGCAGTCCTCTGATACGGCCTCTTCCCGCCGGAGCTGGTGTTTGACAGGCAGTGGCGTGCTCCCTCGTCGTAGAGGAGGCGCAGTGGTGAGAAACATACTGTACTGGAATGAAAGGGTCAAAGGTCGAAGGTGAATGAACTGCAGTGGTTAACAACCCTTAAAGAAACCAACAAACTGTGTTCCAATTATTATAGTTCCAGCAATAAAGAGAAAAAAAACTTCATCTAATTGTAGAATTATCTGGATTATTCACGATTTATTGTGATTGATTTCAATCAATTTCAGTTTCAAATGCATTGTATATAAATATATATATCTATATCCAGTGTATATACTGGGTTTGGGGTCTGGTGGTCCTTTAAGACCCAGTCTTCACACTCATATATGTTACCTGTTAATCTGTTAATTAATAGAATGTCACATTATGACACTCTGGGTCGTCAGGTCTGTTGCAGGCGTCAGATTTTAAACTGATTCTCAACATGGACCTTCTCCACATTCATCTACTATAGAATGTGTGTGTGTGTGTGCAGAAACGGGAGGTGATAATAATGTAGGTGAGACAGATAAGTGGTGGTGTGAGAGAGAGCCGCTGATGAGGACGCAGCGTGTCAACAGGAGAAACCTGCCGGTGGTGGAGTGTTGGTGTCAGATGGAGATGAAGCAGTGGTGGCAGGTGGAGCAGCGGCGACAACAAACGGCAGCAGACGAGAGATCCCGTTTAACGGGAGTGCGAAAGGAAAAAGGAGGAAGAGGAGGAGGAAGAGGAGGAGTTTTGTTCATAGACAAAGAAGCAGAACAGAGGAGCAGAGGAGATGAGGCTGCAGCATTGTGAAACAAGGGCAGGAACGCTGTGGTCGGCTATTTATACACTGCAGTGTCTACTGTACGCCATGTGTTCACTATAGGAATCCACACAGAAATGGGCCAAAAACCCAAAGAGGGTTTAATGAAAAGAAGATGAAAAAATAAAAAGACAAAACAAATGTGTGTATGTGTCTGTTCCTGCTATAGCTACTATACTTTTTTTTTTTTTTTTTTAAGAAAATACTCTTGTGTGGACACCTTGTCCTGGTGTGGACTCACTGTGTGAATGAATGTTCTTTTGTGACTGATGATTGAGTTTGGTGTTTGGATTAGAATTCGGGTCAGATTAAGGCTAGTGTTTAAGGATTAAGATTACACACACAAAAATAATTGTGTGTGTGTGTGTATTGTTTTGGCCACAATAGTACCAGTGCATGTGCATTAGTGTGCAGCCACAGCAGGTCAGCCATGAACTAATCTCATCAATATTTATAAAGCAATTAATCTGCCTGCAGTGACACCTCTGGGCAAATGTGCAACAACATCTGCCTGGAGAAGTTAAGTACAGTATTGACAGTGGTATAAAATGGGATTGACGCAGTAATAGGAGCACATTAAAATAAACAGCAATTAAACTGCACATTACCAGAGGGTGCAGTCTGTTTAATTAGTGGAAATACAAATCGATTCTTCACTAAAGCCGTGACGATAACTCAAACCTGGAGGATATGAATCCAACAAGGTTACACTGATGGACTGAGTTTAATGAGTCTATTATGTTAAAATATGTATACATTTGTTTATATTAGCTGAACCTAATGAACTGGTTAAGTCTTAAATACAGTGTAGGAACACGGCCAGTGTTTTGTTGGGGGCGTTGTACGACAGGGGAGTAGTTAGTGAATTGTATAGTAATAAAGTGGCAGAAAAAAAATCAAGTATGTTAAAATATTCATGAACAGTTGAGTATTGAACTGCTTAAAAAGCAGCTGCAGATTTCATCAGGCTGCAGCGAAAAATGACATGAAAGGTCTGAGATGGAGGGGGAAAAAAAAAAGATTTTCAGAATCCAGGGTTAGACCACGGCTGAAATGAATCATCTCCAAAAAGTCAGCCATTTAGGTTAAAGTAGTATAAGTATAAAGTATAAATATAAGTGAAGGTGGAGGTGAGTCACAGACCAGCAAAAGTAGCCCCCCCCCCACAAAAAACTGCAGACTAAGAACTGCAGTAAAACAACTAAATACACTTACAGTGAAGACAGCTGCAACCTACAGGTGAATTAAATAGTTTAAAGACTATAAAAAGTAACAAAAACATTATTTTAGAATAAAGCTAGAAAAACAAACAATAACCATTACAATATGGCAAAAAAAAAAGTTAGGAATCAAAAGCTGAACTTTTAGAATCGAAACAAAAACCAACAGTGACTGCTAAATGGTACGCTAGACGCCAGCTAACTGTTAGCCTACAGGGGCCAAAGAGCAAATCGTCCAACGTCATTGGATATTGTATTTTATAGATGAACGTAAGTGGTTGACGCAGTTTAATTTAGTTAGTTGAGGGAGCGCTAATCAATTAATGGTTGTCTTTTTTTGTCAGCTGTGGTGACGTCAGCCTTAAAGACAGAAACAGGAAACTGTGTGTGCCTGAATGTCAGGGGTTAATCACCAGGCTGTGGAAAAACTAGGACACACACACACACGTGTGCAGCACAATACAAAACGAATACAACAGGCTGTGTTTTTATTCTCCCGCATCCACGGCCAAACTACACCACCGTTACACACAGACCCGTGGTCCCTGGTGAACGGCCGACTGTTGGAGGCCATGTTTGCTGTGAGATACAAGCAGAGGAACGGTTTGACTCTACAGACGGAGTGGGAAATAATTAATGACGGTTCAACACCAACACACACACAGACAGAACAAGACCAGAGAGTAGAGGTAAACTTTTAGCTCCTACAGTACAACCTACTGATACACACAAATACTGCAGTATTTAATTATAAACTCATCATGTTTTTGACGCTGCTGGGGGAGAAAAAAACTCAACAATAATATGAAAGAGTTAAAGCAAAATAATTTAAATGTTATTATTTTTTATGGGGCAACACACACACGTACTGCACCCTGGGGTAAATTCACAGTAGATGTGATCAAGAAATGCAGCAGTAAAACTATCATGACAGACACAGGGTTAAAAAAAAAACATATTTAGCTTTAAACTCTAACTTAATAGAGCTGGAAATAATCTAACAAAGTAACGATGAGAAATCTGAGTTGAACTACACACACACACACACACACATAACTCTGCATGTGTGAAAATCCACCACTAGCAGCAGTGGGACTGTAAACTCCAGGGTGTGTGTGTGTGTACTGGTGTTCCTGCACTAATGGGGTCGAGAGGTCACTGTTACTGACGGAGCTGGTGGTTCTACAGTGAGACTGTGGGTTTGAATCCAGCATCATGGTTTACAAGTTGTGAAATAAACTGTTATGAATCACAAAAAAAGTCTATATCAGAATACACTACTCATTTGTTCTACGTACACGTACTTGTACTGCAACAGGGAGTATTCAAACTCCACATTTCACTCCTAACTCCCACACGGACCACCTTTTATTTAAGACCACCAATATTCAACCTCAGATTATTAGCTTGTGAACATAGGGTTGGTTAAGGTGAGGGTCGGTGTTCCTCCTACTGGTTAATTTAATAAGCATTCTTACTGTAGTCAAAAATTAATTACTAAAGGAGAACATTGACTTTTCTGCTCCCTTCAGAACGACCAGGTCGATCAGTCATTATTCAAACCCTGTCATTAAGGCAGAACCTCGTTTCCAAGTCAAGACTAAGAAGTGAAGAAATAAAAAACCTCTGTGGTCAAACAGAAGTCAGAACTGACCGGACCTCACACACACACACACACACCCACTGACCAAGTCCCCTCTAGTCTGAGTCAGGATTAAGATTAGGATTACAGTTCAGTTAACAGAAGGGTTCCTGATAGAGAGGCTGTGGTTCAGACCAGGATAACCAGCATCAGCTGTGACCATGTGTTTATTATGGTATGGATGTGTATGAGCCTGGGAAGAGGAGGAGGAGCAGGAGAAGGAGGAAGAGCAGGAGTATTTCTGATCTGTTCCAATTTTGAGAACCTTTTGGAATTTTATTTACCGCTCTGAGCAGCGTATGTCAGGGTAGAGGTTGGAGTGAGAGTTAGTTCTGGTTCTGTTAGATCAGATGAAGGTTCCAGGGATTTACACAGTCTGAGAGTGTCCCCATAACCACAGAAAGACATGTGTGTGTGTCTGTGTGAGCCATTGTGCTGAGGTGTAGTAGAGTGAGGTGTGTGTGTGTGTGTGTTCTTACCTGGTCAGCCATGGTTATCAATAAATCTTCTTCTTTATGGAACAAAGTGCTGTAGTTTCTCTTCCTCCTTCAGGTCAGCGGTGCAGGCAGCAGACCCGGCTTCATCATCACCATCATCATCATCAGTTACACAGGACAATAGAGGCGCACTACATTTCATGTACCGTAGTGTTTGCGTTGAGGTCTCCCTGTGACTCCCGTGCGTAAAAATCCACCCCGTGCCTGACTGGGGAGAGCCGGGGCGCGGCGTGTGGAGACCTGGGATAGGCGCTGTGAGGAAGGTGCAGTGATGAAGATGAAGAAGAGGTTACACCTGCGACTATGCGTGGAGCAGAAGCGGACTTCCTACAGGGAGGAGAGGACAGAGACGGAGCAGCAGTGCGCGTCTCCACCTTCTGTCTTTCTGTTGTTGTGCCATCCTCCGGCAACGACTGCAGCCTTTCCAGCCATACCTTCCTCTAAATACCTGTCTCTCTCTCTCTCTCTTTACCGCGCGCTCTCTCGCGCGTACTCTCTCTCTCTTTCTCTCCTTCAAGGAAAGTGAGGAAACTAGTGGGAGGGTTCGCGTCCTTAAGTAGGGGGGAGGTGGAAGTGAAGGAGATGTTGGTGAAATTATTTCCTTCTCCTGTTTTCTCATTCTTTTACCAACGCGCACAGATTCAGTGCCTTTTGTCTGACAAAGCTTTACAATTTCCCCGCTGTATCCTATTCCAGTTCTTACGGTAAACCATTGTTTTCAGAGGTCGCTGTTACCTAATGTCACCGCTAGAGGTAGACAAAGAGACAGTTAAACGATTCTATCGAGTTTTTTATTACCAACTATTTTACCACATTTTTAAAATATTTTTTAATCACATTCGACATCTATAACCACTATTATCATTAACAAATATTTTTTTAAAGATTGTTGTTTTAAAGTAATAACTGAAAACATAAATCACTTTGTCAGGATTTAGACAAACGGAAGTATCTTATACTAATAAATATCTTATACTACAAATTTTATTCTTAAACTCGATAGAACCTTGGTCACAAAAAAGAGGAAAAAGTCACGGAAGTATAGAACTTATCTACAGGAGTAAAATCTTAAGTAGGTAACAACAGCGCCCCCACAGTGAATGTGACTGTAGCGCGCCGACATGATAAATGGTTCACTGCAATCTGCTGTGGGGAACAGTTTTTCAGGTACTGAAAGAAATATGGGGAGAATTTGGAACCTTTTTCTTTTTCTGTTGAGAAATGACTTCCTAAACTTCCTACAAAAACTCTCCACAGAACTCCCTGACAGAGCCTCCAATCACCGCTCAGCACCAGAGTCACTCAGACAGACCTGTGAATCTGAACTGAATGTTCACAGCCTGATAAAAGTCCTTTCTGTTTCCATCAACTGTCTCTAGACGTGGGATTCAAACCTTCAACCTTTTACAGTTTTCCCAGCGACTGAACACTGGCTGACAGAACCCATCACAGCAAACAGAACCTGGAAACATCCTAAAATCCATTTTAGAGCAGAGATAAACGTGCATAAAATCATTTGATGAAATAATACCACAGGTTTGTTCCCAGCACGAGGGGCGCTGCCTCCACGGGGGACATTATCACTGTTCATGTACGAGACAACAACAAGCACGACAAGCTCGTGACACGGAGCTAAGCTGCCTGAAAACCCCTGTCTGAATTCAATGTCATCTCACTAACTGTGGAGGAGGGGGAGTTTGGGGGGGCATAATAGATGTTGACTTGTTTTGTTCTGTTCTTGAAAGCAGAGAACAAGTGCTTATTAAAACCCTGACGTGACACAGAGAGACCAACGCCTGCAAAGAGAAAATTACTTCCTTAGAAGCACAGACCGTCTACCAAAAGGTTTAATATCACAATCTAGAGGACGTCCTGTGTCATTACACCGGCCGTGAGCCTCTGATCCAAGCGACCCAGGAAGGAGTAATTGGATTTTTCTTTTTTTCAGTGGTCAGATGATTCACACCAACCCACGAATCACTTTTCATTTCTGCTTATTTTCTTATATATATATAATCCTCCATCCAACATATATTTAATCTAGTTTCAGTTCCAAGTTCCTCCAAACACATCCCTCCTTTCTTCTCTGCAGCTCAGACCTCCAGGTTCTCTCCAGGTTCTCTCTCACCCACACCCTACTCTCATTGATTTCTCATGGGAACATGTGTCTGACCTCATCTGTCAAAAACTGTTCATCATCATCATGAGCTATACAGGAGGTCGGAGTTAACCCGTGACGAGGCCGCTCCGTCACCTTGAACTCAGTACATAACAGTCCTGCTCCAAACCTCCATCAGCATACGTTCTCCATCGAGGTCATCATGAAAATATAATATTTATATTTCATCTCAAGAGACCTCAATAAATACCAGTGGTGTCATCTCTGATCTACTGCCTGACATCTCCCATAATGCACTGCAGCACTCTTCTGAGCTATAAGAGGCCAGGGTGTTGTTAATAGCAGAGTGTAGGCAGTTTCCCCCCTTTTTTTCCCATTTTTGTCAATACCTTCCTGGGGTTAATGAGCTCTCTTATCTCCGTCATCTGTCTGCGCTGTGATCCACTCACACAGGCCAAGACTCCGACGTCCTGCCGAGACCTAATTACGTCTACAGATTAGTGAAAGCTTAATATATAAGTCACGCTCAGCGGGGCCCACAGAGAGGTCCCTGCCCGTTTTCATTCAGGGTGTATTTTTAGACCCTGTTAGTCTGGATGTGTGGTGTACAGATGTACAGCCGGAGATCTGCTCAGAACCTCCGTATGTGCTCCAGCAGATGGTTCTCAACTGAAAAGACTGCTGCGCCTTCTTATCGTCTAGATCAGCCGCGGTATTGATCTGAGCGTGACACCATGAACGCCATTTAGCAGCCGGAGCTGAAAAGACCTGCCATTCAATGTCGGTTACCAACAGCATTAATTCCTGGGAGAAACTCTGGAAAATTCCACAGACTACTGAGCAGATGGGCGCACAAGTGAAGGAAAGATGTGAGTCAGTTCCTCTAAACTAAAGCAAAACGATGAGGAAAACGATTGAACAACAGTCACCGAGAAGCAAATATTCATCGTCATATTTCCTCTATTTCTAGCAGTAGTAGTCATTCTCCTAACTCACAGTACAGGTATCGACCCCCCCAAGTCCTATGGCGCCATCCAGGAGAGACACGCCCCACACTTTGAGAAGCACAGATCTATAAGTCTTGATACTCTCTATATCCCAGTACCACTGTTTACAAACTGACGTGAGTATAAGTTTTATTTGTATACTCGCCGATACTACGTGTACTATTTCAGAGTACTATCAAAAATCTTTATGTATTAAATATATTTATTCAAACTAAGCGTAAAAAAATAAAAAGCCAGCTGAACAGAAAGTGAGCAAGTTACTTTAACTATCTCAACTATTTCTACGTTTGTGCCAGTCCAGCAGGGGGAGCAGGACCGATACGCCAGCGTCGCAGACGATTATGTTCTAACCGCTTATGAAAAACAGAGGGCAGCAGAGCTCTGAGCTGACGCATTGCCGGCCGTGACAAGAGGAAGTAGAGCGGTGGGTTCCAACACGGGGCCAGACACACCAGCAGAATGGCCGTCAGCGACGACACCTCCCACCACAGAGAAACCCCAGTTTGGGACTCAGTTGGAGACGTCGTGTCTTTAGGTGAAGCTACAGAGCTGACGTGAGGAGACAGGACGTTGACAAATTCAAGCACATAATAAGGGAACCAGCTGGTAGCGAAAACGAGCGTGGAGCCAATTAGCAGAGCTGTAGCTTTCCTGTTACGACGATCAGCGGCCAGTGACCTCCTGCCACCCGGCAGGGGGGAGGC